CGTTTGCAGGTGCAGAGTAATTTTTTTTTTCATTTTTTGCCCTACAATACCAGTAGATGTTGGCTTATTTTATTGTAGTGCTAGAATAGAGAATGCTGTCGATAGTAACTAATTTGTATACCCGCATTAGAAAATTTTCATTTTTATCCTTATGCGAAATATTTTGGTTGTATGTAGTTTTTTTGTTGCATGTTCCTGTGTAATTTTCATTTAATGACCCTTCACGGCCACGAGCCTGTAAGAAAATAATGACGGGTGCTACTGTAAATTATTAATGGCTAAATAAACACATTTTGAAGTGAAAATTTCTTTCTTCCACTTCTTTTATTTTTTTATTTTTATGTTGAAGCGGTAATTATTGAACCCTAAAATTCTCATAATTTATACGCAAACAAATTTAAAAGATACATTTTTTATTTCAATTTTTAAACTTTTTCAATTGTACTTTCTAGTTAACTTTAAAATAAAAAATAAATAAATTTTTATTAAATAAAAAACAAATTTTTAATATTTTTTTTCTTTTATGTTAAAAAAATTCGATTTTTTCTTTTAGTTTACCTTAAATCTTTTTTAAAAAAATATTATTTTGATAAAATTCCTTTAACATTTTTGCTAAATTTTTTACATTTTTTTTCAGAATTTTAACTACATTTATTTGATCTTTCTTTTTATTTTTTTTTTTTATTTTGTGTGCTTATAAAAATTATATGCAACAGTTTTATTGAGCTCAAGGCCGTATTAAATAAAAAATAATAATGTGTGCCTACATAAAAATCAATTCATTGATTTTTTATTTCTATTTTTAGTAATAATTTGTGTGCTAAAAACAAAGTTTATTTGTTTTGCTTTCCTTATATAAATTTATATTCAACAATTTTATTACGCTTGAGGCTGTTTTAATTAAAAATTCTGTAGAAAATCAATAGTAATTCTCATATGGTGCTCGTAGTTTGCATTGCGCACTTGGCTCACTGAGTAAGCCGGAGTCGTTGGTTCAAATCGCAGTTAACTCGATGAAGAAGTCTTATGAGGAGATGTGGTAATCTCTAAAATAGCAGCTATGGCTTGTACTATATCTCCAATTCATCTGACGACATTTTAATTATTGTTGTTTTTAATTCTTCCAATTTTTAAGTAAAAAAGTTAATATTTCCATTTTTTTTAAACTCTTTTTTCGATATTTCCTTATATTTGCCAAAGCAGTTTTTTCTAATAAATTTGGTAAATTTTGGCGACAAGCATTTTTTCAATAATAATATTTTTTTTTAATAAATATTTTATACATCGAGTTTACTAGCCGTCATTTTTTCTAAATTTCTAAGTGAAAAATAATAATTTGTAAAATTTTTTGTTGACTTTTGTATTTTTTCAATTATTTTTTGGTATATATATTTTTTAATTTTTCAATCAATTCTTTACTTAAAATTTAATACAACGAGTTTACTTACTGTGATTTCTTCTTCTTATTTTTATGTAAAAAATTATTTTAAAAATTCAGTGTTTAAAATTTTTAGTATTACCTTATCTTGTTTAAACAAATCGTGGTCTTATAGCCGGTTTCATCAGTAATTTAAATGGAAAATGATTTCTTATTTTCTGACAATTTCCCTTATGTGATATGTTAGGTACACAAATTTAAATTCTCTTTAAAAATTAAATTTTCGCTCATAGCCCTATTTTGTATAATTTATTCTTACCCTTCTACTTTTTGAATGAACTACATCAACTTAAGCCCCACTTTGCTCACTCAAACGCATATCGCTAATTTGTTTACATTTTATCAACAACATCTATTAATTGACATTTTACAGCAGTAATTTAATTTAATTTAATCTAATTTGCATAAATTAATTTTTGCGATTTGACACCGGCGACGACAGCGTGCTGAGCTGAGTAGTGCAGTAGTCAGAGCGTCCAAAGAGTACAAGCCTTCAAGCGTTGTGCTTATCACATTGCCAATTTTGATGCATAAAATTATACATACACACACACACACACAAACATACTTATACAATATAGTGCACATACACATACACACAATAGGCACCTCGCTGCTGTAAATGTTTTATGCATATGAACGACAATTAAGTTGTAATTTGCTTTTTTTAATTTGCGATAAGAGCCAGCACGACTGGCGCGGCGCAATCTAACCGCCATTCAAGCGACCGCTTACTTTTATGTTCGCGAAATGTTATGTTTTGTTTGTATGTAAGTACACATGTGTGTTATAAAATTTGCATGAAATTTACACAAATTTTCTTGTATATAATTTTTAATTTCACGCCGAAAATTTTCGCTCGCCCCCGCCCTATTCTTTAATTTGCGGCACAATTTGTTTACCAAATCGGAATATTTATGTAACTAAGTAACAAGTACAACAAAAGTATGATGGAAAATTAAACTTCTTAAAGCGCCGTTGCAAATGTAAAATAAAGTTTCGTGTGCGAATACCATTATCTTCACATGCGACCACAGGGCGTATGAGCAACATTTTACTGTGTGGTGTATTCAATAGTGTTTTGGTTGGCGTTGGGATCACCTGAAACAGAATGGGCAAGAGAGTTTGAAGGATTTTTTATTCTCGCGAAAGTCGCACAAGTCTTACAAAAAAAAGATTCCTTGCCAACTTTGTCGGTGAAAAGCTCTTTTGACAGAAAGCACTTGAGCATGTTCCAACAGTCGCAATGGCCAAATGAGCAAAGCACTCGCCTGCCGAGAGAGATCCAAGATTGAATTCTGGGTAGAGGATACTTTTGTCTTTTTAATTTATTTTTTTTTTTCAATTTTTAGATTTTATTGTTTTAAAAAGAAAAATTTGTATATGTATTTTTAAATTTCATTTAATTTTTAGAATCTTATTTAATTTTTTTCTTTGCTTAATTTAATTTTTAGATTTTATTGGTTTAGAATTTTAAAAATATTTTAAAATTAATTCAACGTTTAGAAATATTTTTTTTCATTTTTAATATTTTTTATTTTGTTAATATAATTTTGTTTAATTTTTAGATCCACCTATTGTTTTATAATTAAATTTTTTTTATTTTAACTAAATTTTATGAACTTACTTTTTCTTCTTTTAATTTAGCTTTTTTCTTTTTTAAATTTAATTTCCTTAAATTTTTTTTTAAGAAAAATAATTTTATTTTTTATTTCATTTATTTTTCAATAATTAATTTTCTCTTATTTTTAGCTTTTAATATTTTGACTATTTTTAATTTCATTTAATTTTTAGAAAACTTATTGCTAAACAAATATCGCAAAATCAAAATTTTTTCGAGACAACCTTTTGTCAGTGGAAAAATCGACCCCCGCACCACCTAACTGCTAAATTTTTTGGATTTATTTCTTTCCATTTAATATAGGTTCTAAATATGAAAAAGAAATCGGCCCAATAATAGGGGTTTCGCAAACCTCTCAACTATTGCGCCACCCAGCAGATTAGTTCAGCTTTCATACTGCAGTGTCACTGGGTTCTGAGCTTCGTTGGCAGTTTCAAATATCTAGCTCTTCGGGAAATTGGTTAAAAATTTATTGCAAGATGTGATTACACACAGGTGAAACTTATTAAAAGCTTGTACGTGAAGACAAAGAGCAGCTTGATTCCAAAAATGACAAAAATCTCCAAAAGAATATCAGCCGCGCCTAACAATATGCAACATTTAGTTACATTTCTCTCATACTGCCAACTTTAGCTAATAGTATGACTACGACTATGATCATAACTGCGACTATAACTCTGACTATGACTTTAACTATAACCATGACTATAACCATGGGGCGGATGAGTAATATTTTGCATGCTTTATCGGTGGTTGTAATAAATGTATTCGTCTATATATGTATGTATATTTAAGTGTGCGCATATTATAATCAAATTAAAAATTAAAATTAATTGTAATACAATATTTTCATGACTAACTACAAATTAACCACGTAAATCACATAGCTCATAAAATTAACCATCCCACAGCTTTCAAGAAATATTTTTAAACTAAAAATTTTTTTCTTTCTCTGTTTTTATATTCCCTGATGACGCATTTTTCTGCTACATTCTGCATAATTGGATGCGTGGAAATTATTTTGATTTCGCAACTGAACCAAAAAAAAACAAAACGAATATAAATAAATTGTATGCAATCAATAACCGCAATACATAACGCTAACGAAAAAACGACGACAACAACAACAACATGTGAAATGCAAAAAAAATATGAATTTTAACTACCACTATGTTGGGCTTTTACCGCAACAATTCCAATTGGTGGGCCGGCGGACATTACCTCTGACGCACCCCCACTGCCACACTTCTGCCTGCCCCATCATCTGCCGCATCCGTCATCGCTGCTATCATTGCCATCGTCATTGCGTGCCTGCGCACTCAAAACAAAAACAAATAATCATCCACACAGAACCACTGGAGATGAGCTATTTGCTTGGCATCGCTGGCGGCTGCTTGGCCGCGATACTGATTTTAATCTGCCTCTGTATTTATGCAGTGCGCAGCAAGAAATGCTGCTTCAAGGGTAAGTGTAGTTGAATGTACTCGTATGTACATTAGGGTGATCAAAAAAAAATTTTTTCCGAGATAGGTTTGGGGCACCTTCCGAAATTGTTCCTCTTGCCGAAAGAGGTGCTGTTGGCAAACTTTACGTTTCTAAGTACAAATTTAGAGGATGCTCATATTTTACTCTATGTAGAAGTTTTGTGTACATATATTAATAAAAAAATTGGTTAAGTAACCTAAGAATATTTCAAATTTAAATTATCTAATTATAAAGCTTTAGTTGTCATGGCAACAGTCGCTTTTTATAAATGGCACCAATATTTTTGCCAGTTTCATAGCGATCCAGTAGCGCATTTCAAGGTCATTGAGCACACTGCATTGGTAGCAGTAGAAAACTGAAAGTTGGTATAGATCTTACAAATATCAAACGGAAAAAACTGAGGATGTGGCCCGTTTTCTAAGATGCATTTTTTTCATTCAAAAATTTGACCACCCTAATGTATATATGTATGTGTGAGCGTGTCGGTGTTGCGAAATTCTTATAAATTTCAGGCGAGTGTATGTATGCAAATGTATAAATATTTTATAATTAATCGTATATGTACTTACCATACATTATAAATACATATTTAGTATCTTATGAGTGCGAGTTTATCTGAAAAGTTATTGCATGCTCACCACTATACATGCAAATGCTTACATTCGTGCATATGTATGTACATGTTTGTATTAATCTTTCTTAAATTTAAAAACATCTCATCTTACCGAAGATAAACGCCGATTTCGCGTATACACACTGATGTATGTGTGTGTGTGTGTGTGTGTTCTTTGTCCACAATTAATTAACATTTTTCGCTGCTTTATTTTTCCACTCACTCCTCAGTCGCTAGCAGATATTCATTCCAACCATCGACGAATTTCTGTTTGGCTCCTTTGCCACTTCCACTTTTTACTCATTTCCTGCTTTTCGCTTTCAAGTATTTCAAGCATTTTTAATTAAAATGCTTTCCTCTCATACACAAGTAGTGATCTTGTGTATGTTAGTGATGCATATATTCATGCATATCAACATAATTAATCATATGCATAAGTAACTGCAATTGCCAGTGATTTCCTTTGCGTACATTTTTTTACGTGGAATTATTACTTTCCTTTTACTAAAATTATCAATGTCCTACTTATGATATATGAAAAGCGTTAAAAATTTTATTACAAAAACTTGCCGACTTCAAGACGAATTTAATAAACTATTTTAGCCGAAAAATATAAATATACACCCCGTGTCAAAATTATAAGCGCACCCACACATTGACAAGTTTTAAAAATTTATTTATAGTAGCCAGCTGCAGCACATGCTATCCGATTAATTAAAAAGCACACTGGACCGCTTATTAGATGGCGTTTCTTTTTTTTTTTGAACTATGTAAATTTTAAATTTTGATTTCTTTCTGGCAGTCAGGTCACCAAAATAATATTTTAGTCGACCTTTGACTCCTTCAAATGCAAGTGGCTCTGCGGTATTTTAAACCTTTCCCAGGAGAGTGCTTGTTTGAGATACTTCACGCTCAGGTAGCAGGTAGGGTTGCCAACCATACTATAATATATAGTATTGTATTATTTTTGCGGACTGCGTACTATATACTGTTGGAAAAAAAA